CCCAAAATTAAGATAATTCCATCCAGTATTTATGTAACAGTCAACCATTCAGAGCCATAGTAAGGATTTTATTATACAAGCACTGAAGAATATCTGTGTTGCATTGCTGAAGGTAGTCTAAACTACTTTGCTTTGTAAGGCTAGACACAGAATAAGTAAACCACAACATTTGTGATCAACTTTTTCCTCCTCTTCCACAGCCTGGCTGCATAGAAAAGTACTTGAAGAGTGTTGGCCTGAAGATCAGCCCCTGAACAGTAACACAGCTGAGCAGCCCATTGACTCAATTCACCTCCTGGAATGCTGACTGACAGAACATGGTCAGCAGCATATCCAGGATGGACTTGTCCATGGTCACCAAGTCAGTTGAAGAAATTTCAGAAGAAGAAGTCTTCAGTCTTTGTGTATAGACTGTCTGGCTACTAATTAATCCATGTGGGTTCAATTGAGGAAGTTCTACTGCAATAGATGCTACTTAAACAAAAAAATGTAAGAGTTATTAGACTTTAGATAACTGATTTACAGCTGTTAACCACATGTACTTCAGTGCAGTAAAGGCCTACAAACTGAAACTATTTTAACTGTGAAATTACTGAGAAACGTGACTGCTTAAAACTGCAAAACAACATCCTCATGAGCAAAATGCCTTTAGCCCAGAGAGATAACAAAAGATTTGCCTTGGATCCCCATGGTAGCATATAGAGAAAGCAAAACCAGGAGGACATTCAAACACAGCATCTAGAGATTCAGATACACTGTTCATTTGAATTACTGGAACTTAAACACATGAAAAAAGTAATTAGCTGAGAAAACAGGGCAGAAGAAAATCCTTAAGAATACATGGGGTAATGTATATGTAACTGTCAAATAAATTGGCATATAAAGGAAGCAATTTTAGATATAAATGCAGAACCCCTGGACCCAACAGCATACTACCTATACAGCAGTATATTGTTACACTTGACACTTACAATACCGACCCAAATAAGATGATTTTGTCAAACCTACTGCATAGCCACCACATGGTATGCTACTGTCAACTTCTGAATTTGGTCCCCAAAAGAGTCAAGATTAGAATGACTCAGTTAATCACCATCAGCAGATGATCAAGTGCACCCTAAATTATCATTAGAGAGGCATAGTTGGTGATGTGTAAATATTCCTCCATATGCCAGCAGGACTTAAAGTGTTGCTTCACATAGTAATTACCTCATTCTACTGCAAGCTGCCACTGGAAAAGTCAGTCTCATTCCTTCTTTTCCTTCCCTTTCCCCACTGCTAATTTCTAATGCCTCTCTTACATCAGATCAAGCCACTGTGCTACCTTGCTGAGTTAGCTCATGTGAGGGAGCGGGGAAGATAGAGCAGAGAGGAAAAAGTTCCCCCAGTCATATCATCAAGCTTATCCAAGATCACCTTGCAGCCACACACAAGCACTGCATCTGAAGCATGGAACAGGCAGGAACACATCAGTCAGGTTGGAGGATAACAGCAGAACTGCCCATTCTGGCAGCTGTATAAGACACATGTACCTCCCAAACCAGTCTCTGAGAAAAGCAGACAAAACTAGACCTAAGCTTCGTTGCCTTGGACTGATTAACACCACACCTCAGATGAGCTAACAGGCATCATAAACTTGCTAAAGCACTGCTGATCTGCCTGGCACACTAGAAGACTCTAGGCAGAATTCCAGGGGTCCATCTAACTTCAAAGTAGTGGCTTGGGCCTCTTGGACAAGACCCTGCTCCTGTCAAGCTGAAAACTTCTCTGTATGAATAGGCTCCCAACAGTCACTAAAAATTTCCCCAGCTTTGAATTCTGCTTCCCTTGGCTTTGGTCCATTAGAGAAAAGCCCAGTGTTCACTTTCTAGACAAATAACTTTTGAGAAAGTATGGGAACCACAGCTACAGAAAAAGAAGGTGACTAAATTGTTAGTTTTAGAGACAAACAACAAGGGCAAATACACATTAATGTCTCCTCCCCAAATATGAGGAGATATCCACCTTTTCCTATGACTTAATTTGATATGATCATAGAAACATTTAGGTTGGAAGAGACTTCTAAGATCAAGATCATCAAGTCCAAATGATAATCCTAATGACCTTGTTTCTTTTCCTTACATATGAAGAAGCAGGAAATAAACTTTTCCTTGTCCCAGCCACAGTCTTCATCTGACAACTTAGGAAAGTTACAGAATACATAACCCCATGTGTCTGACCATATTCAGTAAACATTCTGACAAAATAAGAATCAATTCTCACTTGCAAGTGAAGACACTTTTTTCTTATGAAACCACTTCTTGTTTCCTTTTTAAAAATAAATAAATAAATATCTTAAATGCAAGGTCATTGACAGAATGCTCAAGTACTCTAAGCAGCCTCATTCCAGTAGCACAGTTACAAGCTTCCCATCACAGCGATCTGGGTGATTAGCCCACTGTTCCACAAAGAGCAAGAGAACACAAACAAGTCCAAAGCCACTGCCTAAATCTTCCAAAACTTGCAAGATGTAGGCACTGCAAGCGAGAAATGGAGAAGTTTGCTTTGCTTTTTTTTGTTATAGGCACCAGAACACCCCATATCCTAAGCCAGAATAAAAATTCTGTCTAGCCTGCTAGCCTGTCTGAATGTAAGCACATGCCGAACTGTGATAGTTGCCTGCTTCACTTTCCCAGAGACCTGAAGCACATGGGTTTCCTGTCCCGGCCATTAAATATTTGCATGCAGTCACAGTCATTTTTTCCTGGTCTTATTTAGCTGCCTTTTGAAAACCAACTCTTAGCATCTACAAGAACTTCTATAACTCATCATCATGTGCAAAGAAAAAGTTTTTGCTTTACATCTACTATCACAAGTGATCTCTTGGTTTGTAATAACAGTAAGATACCCATACCTTACTTTTTCTTTGAGCTACTCACAATTTTCAAAGCCTTTCACCATATTTCTCCCTCCAGGTACCTCCCCTCAGCACAGAAGTATCTGAATTCATTTGGTATCTCCTTCTAGAGAAGAAGTCTTTACTTCTGATCACCCTTGTCAGCTTCCTCTAACTTCCATAGTTCTGCTAAGTCCTTGGTACTATTGTAATCTTTGACAACCACTTTACTTATTCAACTATTTCCAAACATTAAGCTGAAGTGCTCATGAACCTGAATATAAAGAATTCGCCCCTCTCACCAAGCCAAATGTATTTCTTCACATTTACTTGTGCTTTTTTTCTCAGTACCAAAAAGGCTTTCAAGTCTTTCCCAGTTTTAACCACTAGGAATATAACCTCTCTCATCAGTATTTCTACCCTTTTTCTGAAAGAGAAATGTAGTAGGCCTAAAATGACCATTTACACCCTCTTTTTTAAATTTAAAATAATTACCTATCTGTGGCAGAACTCCCCATTTACTCCATTACAGGTGTATTTTCTTGAAGAACCTCTGGTGTGGCAGTCTGTCCAAAAAACCTCCATACATAGCACATCCAGACAAACTTTACACCAATCAGCACTAATTGTGTCCTCACCAACTTTATAGAACTCTACTAGCCACACACTGCATGATTTGCCTTTATAAAAGATATGTCAGCTTTATCAAATGTATCTATGTATTTACTGATTATTCTGTTTCTTAAAAAAGAATTCATGTTATTTTATCATATTGACTTTAACCACAAACAGCAGCAGAAGACGTAGTTTGTCTGTTCATCAGTATGCATTTGTTCCAAGACTAAAATATCTCTTCCCCTCAAATCTTTAATATATCTGCTATGCCAATATCCTAAAATACATATAAGAGAAACTAGATAGCCTGATGTAATTAATATACAGATATACATATGCACACCTTTTCTTAAATAAAAATTCAAGCATTTTCTATCAATGCACACACAAGTTTCCTCCTTTTTTCCTAAATCCTGTTTTAAATGGTTTTCGTTTATTGGAGGCTTTTTGTTTCTTTTTTTTAATTCTGCACTAGCTTGCATCATTTCTTATTGGAGCTACTGATCCTTGGATAATGTACAACTGCAAGAACACCAATTTTAAAGGCTGCAGAACTCCAGAAATCTCCCATCAGTTTTGGCTTTTCCTCTGTCACCATTTAAAAATTACAGCAGGGCCAACAAAAGCCACCTTTTCCAAAGGGGTTGGACATCACCTCCACTTCCTAACAAATCTAATTCCATTTTCCTTTTTGTCTTATTTTCTAAGCCTAAACATTGGGTTTCTCTCCTCTGCTTTTCCACTCTGCTCCCAAGTATGGTGCAAGGGACATTTCAGGGTGCATTTTCAAAATATATAGCTCAGCAAGTAGAGCGTTACCTCAGAGTACTTGTTGGTAAAAGGAATACCTCATGTTACAGCCCGCTACTGAAAACAAAGGACTCAAAGAAACTAAAGATTGTTTGACACCTACAATAGAACATTTGTCAGAGAAGCAGTTTTGTAATTAGAAATAACAAAGTCTGCTTCCTACAGGCCTCCTCTACATTACTGCTGTTGTAAGTCCATTAAGAAACTTCCATATAACCCTCATTTTGGTTCCCTCTCACATTCCTTAATGAAAATCACTTCCCCTTCTCATTCCTTAAGTAATGCCAGTTACTTATGCTCCCTCATTGCTGAGTGAGAGCAAGACAATTTTTATGCCTGTTTCAAAACCACACATGCGCTAAGTGGCCTGCTGACAGACTGTGAGGTGGAAGGAGTAAGGGGAAGAAGCCACAGTTTTGCCTTAAACAAAGCAGTAATTTTCAAAAAACTCACAAGATCTTCATACTTCAAAATGCATTTGCTTCTGCCGATGATCACTCCACAGAGGACTGCACAAAGATAGTCAGCAACTGCATGAGCTTGTTTCCTGAGGAACCAGGGCACAGCTTGGCCCTTTGGCATCAGTCAAGATCTTGTCTCATAACTCCAACTTCTATTGTGGCCTCTAGTCTTAATTCACCATTTAATTTTAGTAAGTAAGTAATTTAAAAAATTAAGTCATTAAAAAAACCAAACTCACCGTTTTATTACGCAGTCTAATTATGTCTGAAACAGAGCCAGCTCCACAATATTCCATAACAATCCATAGATCTGTGTTCTTAAAATAGCTGCCATAGTACTTGACAACATAGGGACTAGATGAAAAAAGTTACATAAATAGATTAATTTAGTGGTAGAAAAAAATTCATTAGCACAACTGTTGTTACAAATTACAGTTTGCCACACTCTAACAAGCTAAAGAGCAAGTGCAATTACATACATTTTAAAATTGTAATTAGCTTAACCAATGTCTTGCTAGAGCACAATCTGACTACTTAATAAAATTATAAAGGCACTACTACATATAATATATATATATATAACAAGTTTCCAGCAATCTTCAAATACAGTTTTTCCAAACATTAGTCTTCTGATAAAAAGCTTTGTTTTTCCCTCCTCTAAGGCCTCTCAATTTTTAAGTCTTCTATTCAATAGCTAACAAAGCTACTGAATGTTTCCCTTCTTAAAAAGACTACCATTTACAAGCACGACATACTGATCCTTCTCCTTATAAATTCATTAAGTGAGGAAGGCCACTATTACTTCTGAAGTAAACCCACTGATTTTTGTGGTAGTCTCTTGCCAGATTTACACTGTGTTAGTATTCCTAGCAAAAAATAGGTATTATCAATCAGGACAAGGTGATCTTTTCAAAACATCGAGTGTGCAACCTCAAAACACTGTTCACATTTGCTTAAAACCTTGTCCCAGTTAACCACACAGACCAGACTTTCCCAGATCAACTGCCCGTCTTAGAATATATTTTTTCCCCTTAGAAGAGCTTCAGCACGTACAGCACAGCTAGTGCTAGAAATGGGCATGGAGCAGAAAGAAAGAGTAAAGTATTAAGATTTAATCATCTTTTATTTGAGATGCTGCAACAACTCAGTACCTTCCTGTAATATCTGTGGAATCATCCCAGGTGAAAATCAAGTACTAAAAAGTGTGTCATCCCTCCCGTGAGTACTGCACAGCACTGTATTTGCACGAAGGCACATGACATATATACAAAAACATGGGGCAGAGCTGCAGCCCAAACTTTCTTTTCAACCAGAGAATCGCTGCATCTTGTCCAGTGAAGGAAGAGTTTGTGATCTAAAATTCTGAACGTGTACACAATAGTACATGTCCAGTAGATACTAAATGAAGTATGTTCAAAGCAAACCAGGAAACAAAGAAAAAGGGCAGAGAAAAGAGGACATAAAAATAAGGCTGAGTAGGCCCATCTAAGACAAGAATGAAAGTGCCACAAGAAGCATAGCATAGAAAAAAAGGTGAAACTTTTAGAAAATTCTCCAGTGTCACCACTTCTTTTCTCTGTCAGTATATTTTACAGACATTTGTTTTAAGCATTTATTTCAATCCTGGTCTAGTACTTACAGACATACACAAACTACAACCTTCACCACTGCTTCCAGGCAGCTCACATGGCTCAAGCCTGTGCAGCGACTAAGGGCTGCTGTGGGGTCAAGTGATAGAAGTCTTTATGAGAATTTATAAGGTACCATTTTCCAACTTATCCAATGTCTTCCTTCATCTAAGTGAAAATAATTATTTTTATCCCCTCTGCTTCATTTCAGAGCACAGCAACAAGAAGAATCAAAACAAACATATTTTAACTTTTCTTCAGTGTGCAGGAAGAGTTGAGGACCTACTCTGGGTATCAAATCTAGTTCCACAGTTAAGCAGACAAACAAGACTGCTGCTTCCTTTTTCATCTGCACCCATTACAAAACTCAACTGGTCGGTCAGACAAAAAAATAGTCTCACCGGGATGCAAAGGATTAAGAGGAGCCCCCCAAAGAACTCAAGGGTCCCAAATTCTTTTACTATCACCTGAAACGACCTTACCAGACATCTTTGTGGAATGTGTGAGGGGAAAAAAAAAAGCCACAAATTCTTCCTTTTCCTCTCATTCTCCTGCCTACACATTTAACAAGTTTCCAGCATTCAGATCAGTCAGTGACAGAGGGGAATGAATTACAAGGTCCACTGCTTTCATCCGCCACAAATGCTCAGATCAGGTTTGCAGGCAGAAGTTCTAAAAACATTTGAAGAACAACTGCATTCTCATGTGCTAGATACAATGTACTCTGAGGTCTCTCTCCCCATATTTAAGGATAAATATTTGAAACTTCTCCTTCATGACCCTGTAGAGCAGCGAAATTAAGATGCTGTGGAGCAGTACAATCAAGCTTCATGTAACACCTCAGCATAACACTCAGCAGCAAATCTGAATTAATTCAGACTGTATTGAAAGGATTATCTTTAAATCTGAGACGAGTGCTGATCACTGTGAAACAAGAACAGATTTTTCAGTTAAAGAGAACTTCACACAGACACACCACAAAAGCACAAACACAACTCAGAAGTAACAGACCACTTGCTATAATACAATTCACTAAGCTAATGACTAAAGTAATCAATGTTTTAATGAAAGTTTTGCCCAACTAGAGTGCAAAACTTTCCTGGTTGCACTTCAAGTCACAAAAACAGACTCTCATACCACTGATCAGACATGAATTAAAACTGGCACTAGCAAATCTGATTTTGAAGTTACAGCCCAAAACTCCATAGATGACAGGAAATGCAAAGTAACTTCTGCAACCTTGAAGATGCTTGATGTCAAGCTTCCAATTCTACAAGACTAGCCATCATAAGATATGTCATTTATGAACAAGTGTAAGGTAATAGTCCACCAGAACTACTACAAGACTGTTCACCTTCTAAAATGTATGTTCCTGCACAAAAAAAGGCAACCCAAGAAAAGTTAACTGCCAAAAATTAATTCCGTGTTAGAAACATCTTTATTCATCTTCTGAAACAGATTAACTCAGAATTCACAAAGATACTTAAAGGAAACAGCAACCTTTGGGCTTGAGAGTGCAAGTAAAGGGAAGCAAGCACGGAGAATTCCAAGTAGAGCTGAGTATTTATTCTTTCCACAGTTTCTGTTATGTACACTATTTGTACTTCCTTCAATCCAAACTAAGGATAGGAGGAAGTCTGCAAAGTGGTTCCTTTAATTAAAAGTCTGTGTTGTACAATTTACTTTTTCACGAAAAAAAGTTTGCAGCTGCATATATTTCAGCTATATGCACAAGTCTAAATACATTTTCACATAGACTCTTCGAAAGGGAACAGAAATGTCATACCTACCTGTCACATTGTTGCATTATAGAGATTTCTTTAATTATTTCTTGAAGATCTGACTCCACAGGGACCTGTTTAATTGCTACAACTTGTCCAGACTCTTTGTGTATTGCTTTAAACACACTACCATAAGACCTAGAGATAAGAGAGGAAATATTATTTAAAAACAAGGCAAACTGCTTCTCATTTCCGTTATGCACGAAAAGTCACAGAAGCCACATGTTCATGCAGAAGTTTAAGGGTTTTTTCAGGGTGCAAAAAGATCATTTCTGCTGGGATGTCAGGAAATATGTGCCTCTGAAGAATGCATCTTTGCCAAAATTTAGAGTATCTAATTCCAGTACAGACGCAAGGACCTTTGCTGTGTTAACAAACAATGGATATTAAATGCATTAAATATTTGAGGACTACGGAAATCTCCTGATGCATGCATTTGCTCTATTATTAAAACTTGTCTTTAGAAGTACTCATTAGGACATTTACAATCACTCTCTCTGTAACTTAATATTCTAACACATGCTTTATGCACTGTTTCCCTCTGATCCCATCCCCTTATAAACAGCTGAACTTACCCTTCACCAAGTTTCTCCAGAACATCAAAGACTTCTTCAGGTTGCTTTGTTAAACTGTCTTCACTTAGCTTTTTCAGTTTGCTAAAAGAAGGACAAAAATTATTTATTTGTTCGGAGAAGGAGGACAAAACTCAAGCAAATTTTCACACAAGTGAGCAGACAGAAAAAAAACATTATCATGAAAAATATATTTCAATGAAAATACTTGATTGATGTGTAGCAATAAAATTTTAATCAACTGTAATATAAGATGGATAAAGTTAAGACAATTTTTGTCATTATTACTTTCCCACTAATGTTTGTTCTATTCAAAGCAGCATGGGATGGGTTCACTGCCCAAACCACTTCCTTTGCTAAAGTAGAAACAGACAAAAAAATACAGTAAAGTTCACCTTCCATCAAAAAGCAGCCAGCAAGCAACACATGCATTACTACCTAGAGAATGCCAAGCTGTTATCTAAGGAAGTATAAAGCAATTCTTCACCCACATGAAGTATTCGCTTCTTTAAACTGTACCACGCATAAGCAAGTGAATGACATTGCTAAAAGCAGAATTCCGAATCAAGATGATTTTGGGAGCACATGGTAGGACTTCCCCTTCGCAGGTGGCAGCAAAACACCAAAATTCCAACAGCTGAGCACTGTAATGGCTGTTGGGGCAGCCCCTCTTGCATCTTTGTGAATGTACAGAGGGACAGGTGCAACAAAATCTCTCATTACATAACACCACCATATTTTGCCCTTAGTTCTCTCTCACACAGTCTCAAATCACTCAGCAACACCCAATGATTTCTTCCAGCATCTTCAACCCTCTCTTACCACTATTCATTGTCCTTTACAAGCAGTCCTAGCCTTGCCAGTCTCCAGCATTCCCATCTATCCAGACCTCTAGACTCCTGGCAGATCTCAGAACACAACTTGTCTGCAAGCTTGCAATGGAGCCAACACACTGAACGTAGCACAGAAAAATATAACCACAAAATAATATAACCACAAATATTTACATTGCAGCAAGGCAGGCTGGCTGCAACATGCAAATCTTTCACCCTAAAAATTATAGGGAATTTTGGTGCAAGACTGAAATAACAAGTTAACTCTACATGATAGCCAAGGGTACTATTAAAGCAGAAGATGAGTTGAAGAATAGCTGGTGCTGTAGTGTTAGATATAGACAATGCATTCCATATGCAGGAGGAGGAAAAGGAAAAAAAAAACAACTTTGAAACACAGTAGACCATTGAGAACTTATGGAAAATATTATCCCACAGCACTTTCCTGGAAATTAATACAAAATAGAAGAAGGGGGGAGGGCATGGACAGAAAAGACTGACCAATCATAATATGGGAAGAATAGCGATCAAAGAGAAACTCCTTCATATGAGGAGATGCAATTCTTTGATATACAGAATTATTAAAAATTAAAGTGACATGACCAGTGAGGGAATCCCTGAGTCAGAAAAGACTTCTAATTGCCAACCATGTAAGTAAAGAAAAAATTTTAAAGTAATTGTAAAAGCACACAGGTCATATGGATTGGTGCTAAACAAGGGAAGCAATGGCAAGGAGGAGGCACAAAGGTGCACATATTTACAAAAAGCTCCACAATCGGTAAGGAAAGGTGCCTGAGCAAAGATCATGTAGTTTGCTACAGCGAACAGGCAGGAAGCTTGAAAGCATGTGTGTTTAGGGAAAATAAAAATCTTCACAGCAAAGGAAAGGCACAACTCATTAGTAGAAAAACAGCTGAAAATTCAAATGAGAACAGTTAAATAAAGTCCGCAAAAGTGGCCTAGAAATCAAACACAAGAACACAAATCTGGGTTTTTTTTCAGTCTCTCACTCTGCTGGTTTGACAATAAAAAACAGAAAGATGGAATTTAAATCTTGCAAGGAAGCACATATTTCATTATTGAACAAGTGTCAGTGGAGACTAATAAAAGAAGAAAAAATATTTTGCAGATAAGTATTAAAGTAACAAGTAATTAACTTTGCTTCTTTGTTTAAAATTTGTTCTTCTCTGAAGAGCAAGCCTTAAAGGCAGCATTCAAGAATAAGTTGCTGCAATCATCCTCTGCTTGCCACCAACAAAAAGCACACACAGTATGTTTATGACACAAGCAGACCTCCAAAAAATAAAAAGCACGACCTTTAGCTGAGTCTCTCGCTTGACTGAAGAGCTGCGTAAGAGAAGATGTGCACAACAGAACAGTACAGGGACTGAACTTTTTAGTAACAGCAAGAAAAGGGAAAACATACAGTAACCCCGCACAGAGATGCCTACAAAGAGTACACTTCCATCTACTCACCAAAATGAGCTAAAATGAGAAAGAAAAATAAAAAATCCATACCAAAATGTCTCCATTAATCCCAAGGCATTGGGAGTGCTTGAGAAAAGTTATGGAAACAATCACAAACAGCCATAAACTGATCAAAACCAATGTCACTGTCAAATAATAGATTATCTGGAGTACTTAAGAGGCAACCAGGAGAGCAAAGAAGTAGTTTTAAAATTATTTTCATAATACCCAACTCTGACAAACATTTTATGAGATCAAAGTGTACTTAACACTATAGCACCTAAATACAAAACCTATTTACAGGAAGAAATGTATGTCCACCTCAGGAATATCATCACCAAATACACTGCTCAAAGCACCTCACACTCCTTCACAAACACTGTGTCGTGTTCAAGTGACGGTATTAACACCGCAGTTCCTTGAGCCATAGAAATATCCTAATGACTCAAACTGTTTAATGATTTCTGTTTCTAGATGTTTAATAGAATATTCAGCTCTTGAACTACAGAGCAGCACACGATATACCCTGAAGGGTTGCAATAAAGAAAGCGTTTATGAAAACTTCATGAGAAACAAGGAAGAAGGTGGCAACCAGTGTAACTGGCTGCAAAGCACCAAGCAGAATACAAAACGAAGAGACTGAAAATATGTTGTTGGTTAAAAACAAGCAACTAAAACTAGGGATAGAGAAACACAGCTAAGACTTCAGAATTAGCTTCATAACTGGGGGTATGGGAGGAGTGGTCAGGAGGCAAAATGAAGAGACAAAGGGCTCAAGAATGATCAGAGAGAAAGAAAGAGTGTCTTATTCCTCTCTCCCTCATTCATCCCCTATTTTCATAACACAAACATTTAAAACAGAACAAATAAATCAGTAAATTCAGGCACTGTTTTCTTCTGGTAACAGGACACAAATGCCATATATTTATATACATACATATATATGTGTGTATATATATATACATGTATATGTGAAAAAATCTAAAGGAGATGCAGAGAAGTTCAGAAGTAGAATGAGCAGAAAGACATTCTAGTTTCTTTTTCTCTAGACAATCATTAGGTAGTGAGTATGAGCTATTTTAGAGGTCTTCCAGAAGGAAAGCTGTTCCCGAAATCAGAAGGACGAACTAAACTGCAACTCTGGGACAAGAGCTGTCAAAAATATTGTCTTATTCCAAGGAGGTTTGACTTTCTGTGTAACAATTAGTCCCTCAAAAAGAAAAATACATCCTAGCAAATAATTTTACTTTTATAAATCCAGTTGATAGGAGTAAACATTAATACTTAGCCTGACCAGAATCTTACGTGTCATTGAGTATATCAGCAAAACTTCACAAAACTAAATGCAGAAAAATCTAGAAATAGTAAGAGGCACCCAATCCCAGCATAAAGATCAGAACTGCCATATAGCAAAAAGATCAGACTACCAATCTCAGCATAAAAATCAGAAAAATCTGAACTGGGACCTGAAAGAGCAAGAGATTTCCCATCCTAACACGAGAAAAATAAAGTATGAGTTTAGTGTCCTACAGTCACTATATATAGATTTTACACAATAAATTGGTGATATGCTACGGAAGTAGGCATAAAAAAACCCCAGAAGGTTCAAAAGAAAAATAAAGCAGGAATAAAGAATAGAACACCATCAATTACTGTCATGAGTTACGGAAAACTGGACAGCTGCTTCAACAAACGTGAATATATGTGGTTTACTTTGCAGAAGAACTAGCACATTGAAACATTCAAAAAGAATGGCAGGGATCAATTATACTGATATATTAAAAGAGAAGGTAGTAGGAGAAATCACTGCAGTCATCAGAAGCAGAGGTGCCATGTGAAAGCCTCGAGACATTGCTTTACACCGTTCACACAAGCAGAAGAAAGATTAAGACAGTTTACAGCATTGCATAGTGTACTTACGTTTAGTTTTCTACCAATAAAACCCAAACAAACGTACATTTTTGTCCCACCATTTTCAGGAGGAACTTGACAATTGTCAATGTGTCCATTGCCACAAGCATTAAAAACTATTTTTCACACACAGTTTATATTCTAAGAATAAGTTTTTCCTCTTCCCACAAAACCTGAAAAGTTACACTTCAGTGAAAATTAAACTGCCTAAGTTTAAAGTAAGGGTTGGAGAACTTTAATTAACACTCCCCATGCTTGTTAAGCAGCCTTTTATTTGGCAGCAGCGTGCAAGAAATGGGCAAGATTAAGAACTATGTATTTGAGAGAATTCTCTAACTACTTTGCTTTTCCTTTGTATGCAACCTATCTGCTCATACATGAGTATGCCAACATATACAGAAAAATAAAACAAGGCAAATTTTGTAACTATTTCAAGAGAGAATGTCCTTTTTAGTGTGATAAGAAAGTATAAAACATATCCAAAGTACAGTTAGAAATTCAGATGCAAGAAAACAGTGTCAACTACTGCACAAATTCTCTTCAGCATAAATTCAGACCACCTACTCTAAACTATTATTTAAAGCAAAAAAAAATATTATTCTGAAAAGGACTCTTCCTTAGAAGTCTTTTGTTGCAGTACATTGGTCAAAGAAGAAAGCTAGTTGTTTTGACAACGTCCCCCCTGAAAAGTCACAATGGCCTGGACTGTCACTTGGGCATCATCACTGCTACTTTCTGAAGGGCTGTTTTAAAGATTTACACAATACACCAGTAGATCGTGCGTTCCTTATAGGGAAGAGGGGATAAAAGTGCCCTATACCTCTAAGGAAACACTGAGATTCTAGGACATCCACGCAGCTTTGAAGTGCTGATATTCTTGCTACCTCTAAATGGATCTCTTGCACCACAGGTATGATGCCAGTAGATCCCTTCAGTAACTGCTCCTGTGGACAAGGGGCACCAAAGTGAAGAATTCCAGTGCTCTCATTTGTTTTCCCAAGTAAACATGGTGCGTCCATTTCAAGCCACTCCTGCATCCAAGGACAGCATCAAAAAGTCAGCCCACAAAAAATAATCTGCACTCCTTCTGGACTTGCAGAAGAAGGGGGTGGCCTAGAAGAATAGTTGGGAATGCCAACAATCAGAAAACTGCAAAAAACAACAGATAAAGGGGATATATTTGCACATTTATGAAAAACTCTGTTCAAATCTTATGCAAACCTGAGTTCTTATGAAAAATTGAGTTCAAATCTTTTCTTCCACTAAAGAAACAACCCCACTGAGTTCTCTTCACATTCAAACTTCCAAAAATAAGCTTCAAAAAACATGTCAAGTATAAAAATTTGCCAGAGTTTGGACATTCCCTCATCAGTTTTCTAATTCTTCCTGACTGAATCTAAGGATTTAAACAGTTTCTCACTTTCAACTAGGCCAGACACAACACCTGCAGCTAGGCAATAAGTTTACAGCAAATCCCAGATCTTCCCAAAAACATCTTGTAGGTTATGCTAACTTTACAGTTTGATTTTCAGTCCTTTGATATCACCAGATCCCAAGTTTTGCACTGGTGCTGGTGACACTGACTATTACTCAGACATTTCTGTTTCTTTTCCTAAACCCTTGCTGGTGCCTGTCCTACTGCCTTTATTTGAGACATACAGGACTGTCAGCCTGAACCTACAGTGTAGGCCTGTCCCTCCTCACCCCATTGCCTGCTAAAACCACCCTAACACAGCAACTACAAACCAATTCTTGGTCAAAATTTTTTGTAGTAGATACTGCCACTTAATGTATTATTAGAGGAGAAATTATCAGAAGTTCAAGACTGCACTCTTCTCCAGTCCTGTCATTCCTGCAGGAAGCTGCTTTTAAAGAATCTTAAAGGTTCTAAATGTAGAATGCAAATGTTTTAAAGCAGAACATAAAAACTGATTTATTATCTACTACCACAAATTTATATTGTGTAGTCCCTAGATTTTTCATTATATTATCAGGAAGCTAAAGTAAAATTAGAGCTCTAAAACAGTAAGTATATATGTAAACTGTGTACCTACATTCTGTATACCACACAATTATATCCTGCGTAGTCTACAACTATACCCAAGAAAGGATTGTTCAAATTCAAATATGTGATTACATTTAAATTCAATACGATTAAAGCAAAATTATTTCGTGTACTAAGAAGTCGTAGTTGGGGGGGGGGGGGGGGGGGGGGGTTGGGGGGGGGGGGGGGGGGGGGGGGGGGGGGGGGGGGGGGGGGGGGGGGGGGGGGGGGGGGGGGGGGGGGGGGGGGGGGGGGGGGGGGGGGGGGGGTGGGGGGGGGGGGGGGGGGGGGGGGGGGGGGGGGGTGGGGGGGTGGGGGGTGTGGGTGGGTTTGGTTGGGGTGGGTGGGGTTGGTTTAAAAAAAAAAAAAAAAAACAAAAAAAAAAAAAAAAAAAAAAAAAAAAAAACAAAAAAAAAAAAAAAAAAAAAAAAAATTTTACCCCCATGAAAAAAAGAAAACAAAACCACCATGCAGAGTAGCCTATAATGACCCGATAGCCTACATATTTCAGAAAATACATCTACTGTGAGAATACTCCTGATTTTTGCGTCTTCCCACTCCCTGATTTGCAATTGCAACTATGCCCTGCCCACCCCCACAAGCATCCATCCCTCCAGCAGCAGCATACAAGGGCACTTTCCAGCATGGAAAGATAAACTACTCGTGCTGGCTCCTGCCACAGACCTGAAGTATCGAGTGCACAGGCTCCCAGCCCACGGAGGGCTCTGCCTGGCGACCAAGTTTGCCTCATTTCGCATTAAGAACGTTCCTCTCGCAACTCAACCAGCCCCCGAGGGTTCGCCTTCACCTGGGCATTGACCGGGGCGAGCACTTCGGGACACTCCCGTACCGTAGACCCTACTCAACGCGACACAACCCTCCGGCCGCCGGGCCGGGCTCAGCACCGTCCCTGTCCTGCCACCCCCTCGCAGCCCCCTGCACCGAGGCCTCACCCCGCTCCCTGGCGGGGAAGGGGCCGCCGGAAAGGGTCGTTACCTCTTAGGCGCTGCTTGCTCCATGCCGCCGGCGCTGCCGCCCCTCGGGGCTGCCGGCCGAGCCCCCGGGCCCGCCGGACCCCGCGCAGCTCGGAGCGGGCTCGCCGCCCTCTCACCCGGGCCCGCGCCCTCCGCCTGCCGCGCTCCCGCCCCGCCACCACCGCCACCTCCGGCCGCGGCGGGGGCCCGCCCCCCGCGCCGCCCATTGGCTACCGCCGCCCGGCACCCGGCGCTGATAGGGCGGCGTCGACGTCGCTCAGAGTGGCAGCAGGGACGCGGCCCCGCCCTCCCGGGCGGAGCGGGCGGAGAGAACATGGAGGCGGGGGTGCGCCCGAGCTCCCGGCACACCCCGCGCGGCGGCCCGCAGGGCACGCCGGGAGGTGTAGTCCTCGAGGGTCACCAGCCCCACCCGCGGGGGGCCCTGCGGGGTTGGGCCGCGCCGAGCGGGAGCCCCGCGGCGCCGTCCCGCCTACGCACCGCATCCCCCGGACTGGGAGCTGCGCCTCCGGGAAGGGCAGCCTGGGGCAGCGCCGCCGCCTGAGGGCGGCTCTTCCCCCGCGGACACCCGCGTGGCCTCGGGGCAACGCTGCCGGGCGGCCGCGCCTCTCACCCGCCTGTGGGCGCGGGGCAAGGAGCGGCGCCAGCCCCTCCGCTGAAAGGTGATGTCTCAGTGGGCAGCTGGCTCCAGAGCTTGCGAACGGGAAGCCTGAAGTCAGGGCAGGACGGGGGAGCTGCCCCCCGCTCGGGTGGCACGGGAGAGCTCTGAGGTGACAAGTGCTGCCGCTTCGCGCTTGAGCGTGTGGTGCCAAAGCACACGAGTTACCCTGCAAGGCCTGGGGAAGCTGTCATGTCGTTATTCAAGCAGCAGATTTTAGGCCACAGAGCACCCTGTGACAGTTACCTGCAATTTCACCCCCTTACAACTTCTTTCTGCTGCTTGTGTACTTGGATCTGCTGGATCCAAGTAGATCCAGCCAAGTTAATACAAGAAAAGTGTAAATGTTCAAGCCATTTTCTGTATCCTTTCCTGACAGAAGGTTTATTTGCCTAACTAATGGAAGTTTGAGGTAGTAAAACACTTAGGCAAGTTCCATGAAAATACTGAGATGCCCAATTCCCACTTCAAACTGATTTTTGATGGACAAGTATTACAACACCCCTAAAAAAAAATGTGCACTCCATACCTAATTTCATCTCTTTGATGTGCATTAGCAAGGGAATTTTGAATGACTGAAATCCTGCTGTTGTGCAAGTCTTCTACTTTGTCTGAGTCAATCCAACCCAGTTGACTCACTGTGGTGGGGCAAATGCACAATGGCAATATTGAATGAACCCATAAAACAAATCAGACACCACCATATGACCTTTTAGGTTTCTTTGTTTTTCTGAGTCATGGAAAAACTGCAATAGAACATCGTCCTTTGCACAACAAATTAATGCAGAGCTTTCCCAAGTATCATCCCACAAGCCAGAGTGGCTCACCAGCAGTGCTGCCAGATGTGTCCATACCGTAGACAACAGTCTGTGGGATGTGCCAAAAAAAACCACCCAGGAGAGGAAGCCAGCAGATGCCTCAGATGCAGTATGGTACGAGTACCTTAGAAGGTGGTGGGGAGGAACCACAAGACTTCCCATCTCCCAGTTCTAGGACAGGTGAAGTCAAGCTGATAGCAAATACCATGTTGCTAGTGTGCAGCTTCGTTTTACAAGGTATTTGGCTATACCCACTGACTAGTTATTATTTACAGTTCACCAATTTCACCTAGTGAAACAGGTCTGACATCCCTTTTTGGTTATAATACTCCTCGAATGTCTCCACATCCTTTAACACAAATCTTTAAGGCAATATTTTGTCTGGGTTATTTCAGGGGAGGCAGGTTTTGCTTCCCCCTCTCAAGCCAAATCTGCCACAAACTATACATTAAAGCAGGGAAAAGGATTCTTAGAAAAAAAATTCAGGTACTATATTATAGTTGTAACAGCAACACAAAGAAAGGGAGCCAAGAAGTGCTTCGTTCACACAAATACTTCTTTCGCTGCAAAAATTTAGGCTAAACAGTCTAATCTGCCACTCTTACCTCCCCCTTAAACAACAGTTGACAAGAACAAGCCTAAAGAAAATCTGTCCCAGAACAGCAGATTTAGATATTCTCTCTGTTCATTCAAAACTACTGAATACTGCAATCCTCATTTCCAAAAAATACCCTGACTACTTGGTAACTGAGTAAAAGGGTGGCAGGAGTGTCCTCCATCTATGCCATTGAAGAAAAGCACGTAAAAAACCTAAGATGCCTGAAAGAGAAAAAGTTAAGTAACCTGGCTTTATAACCTGGTGAAGCAGGCAGTGCCAAAAAAGTATGGACTAATTCCATGCCTTTTTTATAGAAATTTCAGTTGTGTCTTAAGCAGCTGCCAGAATCCTTTCTAAGTACGTTTAGGCTGAAAATAAAATATCAGTAAGATAACATATATACCACAGTGTTTTGCAAGATCACTTTATTCAACTCTTATAATTTCAAATGGTATTTTTAGTCAATGACATTGGAATAAATAACACCATCTCACCTTTCCCCTGTGACATGAATTTAGGAACCGTGCTGTGAAATATGACACTGATTTGGTATTCATTACAATACTGTACCTAGCCACTGGCAAAGAAGGAACTTTGAAAGGGAAAACAGACTCCCTCTGTTCTACTACCTCATTCAGGCTTCCCAGTCAAGGGAAGCCTAGATGTTCTGGAGGCATGAATACACTATGAGATTGCTGCTGTCTAGACAAGATGGAGATGAGGAAGCTGCAGACAATCTACATGAGTATTCCCATGATTTCCTCCAACAGTGGAACTATCTAACACTACTAGGAAGGCAGCTGAGTAAGAAAAGGCTTAATGTAGCCCAATCTTAAAAATATAGGAGAAAACTAACTGAATTACTCTCTTTCTTCTGAAGTATTTCATCCACTTTACAAATTTATCAGCATTAATTAGGACTCCCTTCTCTGCAGAACTGGCATCAACATCAAATATAATTCCTTAGACTAAAGGATGGATGAAGACCATACTTAGGTTTTGAGTACTGTAATTATTTTATATTATAATGTAGTTTTGTAAACAGATAAAATAATTTATATTATAATTACTTATACTGCAATGAAATCAGGAATCATGATGTCATGGACAAAAATTGGGTGCTGTATAACTAAGAAAGTCCCCAAACCCCTACATACATGAACAAAAAGGTTTCAAGATGTCAATCCTGCCTCACTTGCATGTAGTGCATAATAAACCCAAGAAGTATAAAAATTTCTTGAGAAGCTCATGTCTGAGTTTCTGACAGGTATTACTAATGTTAGGATTTAAATTACAAATATATACTTCAAAGTCATTCATAAACATCTTGCAAATAGATTACGTATGTTATAGTAGGGACCTTATCTTGTTCCTTTGGTAGCAAATAAAAGCAGCGTTTACTTCAGAAGGTATTCAGTCAGGCTCATTTAAACAAAGTGCATCGTAACGAGTACATGATGCAACTAGAAAACAGCAGAATTAATAAACAGTACGTGTTTTCCAAGAAATAAATGTCATGAACACTTTGTGCTCCCCAAACAAAATACCCCTAGTCCTTCATCACATCTGTGGTGCTTTTCACATCCCAGCTCTTTTCCCCATATGCTTTCTAGCCCTTCACCATGGTACCCTGCCAGTTCTTTCACAGGGCGCTCTCTCCTTTAATATCCCTGTATCGTTCCCCACCGAGTTACACGGATGCTGTGTCTGCATCACACCTGCCTGTTAGCTCACAGGAGGAGGGGTTTGGCTCACAAAAGGATGCAGGCCAGTCCACGGCATGGTCCCAAACCCAGCACCTAAGGACAGAGTTTCCCTTACTTTTCCCTTGCCATGGGGTGGACAGTCCCACAAACAGGCCATTCCCTCCTCTACCCATGAGTTTTGTAAAAATAGGAACTTACGATAATGACAGACCTCCAGCTGTTCATCAAACGTGATTAATATTAGTTTATAAGGCACAAATGGTTGTGAAGGGGAGAAAGGCAAGGAATGGCAGGCAAGCACAAAGATGGAGTGAATGCAAGAGCCTGCTTTCCTTGGAATCCAATTCATAAATTCAGTAGACAAATAGTCAACAACAACATGTTTGCATGTCTCTCCCTGTGACTGCCTGATAGCAATCTGGTATGCTGGAAGTTAAGGAAAAGGCCTTGAATGAAATACTGGCTTGTTTATACAGAAGATAAGAAAAAATTACTTCTGCTTGTATTTTTTTCCTACCTATCATGTCTAATGTGAGGCAGCCTTGAAGGCTTATCTAAGAATTTGCTATATACTTTCCTAACCCTGTCAGTCATAAAATAGTTATAAATAAAATATAAAAGAACAGCATATTCTCAATTTTACAATAAAATTTATATTTTTATAGCGAGTTTTAAATCACATTTAGGAATAAAGAACAATTGGGAGTGGCTTCTTTTCCTGAAGTATTCATAATTTAACGGTTAATTAATGTCACCTAAAAGGAAATTGACTTTTTGCTGGTCCAACAAAAGACAGATGCAGAAAATACATAGTCAAGCAATATAGGTACAGATTCTGCCATCTGTATTTACTCTGTTAAAATCAGCATGATTCACAAAATTCCTAGTTGACATTAAAAAGAGGTGTAAAACCCATAAAATATTAACTGCACTGCTACAGTTTCTCTCACTACGTAGTATGCATTATTTTGATACCCAAAATATTATCACTAGACCTAAAGACATTTGTTGATTGGGATAGAACTTTTCTGTTGACTAACCATTTAGCTCACAGTCTTGGTAACAGGCTATATATAGACTTACCATTTGCTATTTTTCCTATTATAGCACACTATGGTAAAAATAAACCATGGATACAGAGTTGCTATTTACAGTTGACCACAGAAGATATTCCAGTCTGTACTACAGCTGCATTGATTGTGCTCGTGGGATCTACAGATTGTCATTAACATGAAAAAAAAAAAATCTCATTTTGCTTTGTAAAACAATTACTGTTGTTGTGGTAATACTGAGGGTTACTCTGGATTCGCTTCCGCACAAAAATATTCCACCTCTTTGTTGGAGCAACCATCTGC